ACCATCATCATGTCAGGCTCTGTGCTGCATTTCTGCAGAAGTTCATGCTTTGTATTCCTATGTTTGCAAAAATGACAAATACTGAGAGTAAAAATTTATTCAAAGTAATTCTATTTATATATTTACAGGAAAAAAAATGTATGTCAGGGATCCAATGACCCTGTGAGAGATGTGGTGTGGATTTCAGTGGGATGTGGATTGGGCCCCAAAAGCTGCTGGTCTCAGTCCCCTGATACTATCATGAAAACTTTCCGTTTACAGCAACAGATGCCACAGGGGGTTGTATATTTGGATATTATTAATTCTTTCCTTAGGAGTGTTTATTAACAAATGCTTGCAAGTTGTATGATGTGGTGTGGTGTAAACAGGAAGCACTCCAAGGTATTGCGTTGCCCATGTAATGCAACACATATTCCAACAGCTTGGCTTTTTTTTTCAAAATACTGCGACACCACTTCCTTCAAGAAACCTCTCCTGTCTGCATATCTTATTTCTGCTGTAGACATGCAAAGCTGCAAAAGAACCAATTGTTTTAAAAATGAATGTTGATTTGCCAAACGGGGAACCGATGTCTGCAACTTATATCCCATCTTTAAAGTTATGCAATCCAGACTCTTTGGGTGCTCTGATCAGTGGATTGAACAAAGCACAAGAGAAGAGGTTGCCACCTTTCCTCCTGCAGCATAGTGCTGCAGCGATGCAGACTGCCCTGCAGGCATTGCAGCACATCTCAGCCCCAAACCTGGGGCAGTGCCTCTTCCTCTTCTGCACTCTGTGACAGCAGGCTGGGCTCTGTCTGGTGCAGGGGAACAGCTATTCCATTTCCAGCCAGCTCTTGTTGTCTGCCAAGAGCAGCAATGGGAAAGCTAAGGGTGACCATTAATATGTGGAAACTTTATAATCAGAATAACAGTGCTGAGGCCTCCAAGCTGTCTAATAAAGGCTCCATGCTCTTGTTGTGTGATGCACCAGTGTTGTCTGTATTCTGAACCCTGGTAGCTTTTATATGAGCATCTCAGAATCCCATTGGCACAGTTTCCTATGCCTTGTTCAGCCAGTGCTATGTACAACAGGAGCAGACAGTGGGGAATTACACTTGTGCCACCACAAAATCATGGTTGTTATAAACCAAAACGACTGGTAAGAACATCACCTGGAATGAAGTTCTAGCGGCTCTGTTTTGAAGGTTTGATGTCATTTCCCAAACTGGTTCTCAGTGAAGGTGCTTCTGTGTCTGCCCCAAGCGCAGATGCAATTGGGCTGATACCAGGACTGATGCTTTCTCCTCTGTCCTCACATCAATCAATCTCTTCATCACATGTACTCCCTTGATTTCTTAACTATGAGTGAGAAAGAATGAAAATGAAACTGCTGCAATATCTGGACCACATAAAACCCCAATAATCCTGTGTCTACATCCTTTAACTTCTGCTTTATTGGAGGCATCCCTTGTCCAGCATGAAGCTGAACTGAGAGAGAGTGGGGGAAACAGACGGCGTATTTTAAGTATTTGTAAATCGTGAGCCTTGTGAGGTTTTGTAATAATCTTACTGCCTGTTTTGTATTTTCATGTATTTGTCTAGCAAATGATGACATCAGAAACGGAGAGATCAGGAGGCTGATAACACACACTAAGTCTGTTCTGTAAAATCTCAATAGCCTTTTGGTGCATGGAGCTGTGGCACACGCAAACTGTGATTGCACTGACATCCTCATAAGTCTGTGCAAACACTGCCTATGCATGTGTTTTGTCACTAGGATAACTTTGGTTCAACACTTGCATCATCCACAGCTTGTTTACAAAATTTGAAGTCTTGAACAAAGTGGAGCTGCTTCATGAGGAGAAGCTGGTTTTCAAAAGGTACAAGCTCCAGATAAGTGAGGACAAGTGAAGCACACAACAATATAGAAATCATTCAGTTTTACTGCAGCCAACTGAGGCGGAGTGTGCTTTGAAGCTGGGAAATTTCCATTACTGAAGTGCAGGACAGTGCCTGGATACTGCTGCTACTGCAGCTGAGAAATAAAAGCAACTTAATTTAACATAGCAGCAAAATGTCAGTACGTTAATTACAATTGTTAGAGTTTTATAAGATTGTAAGGATGCCGTAAAATTGATTCCTTCTAGAATATTTAGAATATAATTGTAAATGACTTCTATAAATATGAAGAGCGTTAAAAGGACTTGAAATTGCACCTAAGCTTTCAAGCTGTATCATATTTGTGGACCTCAGATCTGACAAGAATGTGACACTACAGCCCCTACAAGTGACAATGTGACAGTGGCAGAACGATATCCAATGTGAGATCAAGGTTGTTACGGACAGCATAGTTCTGCAGTTAATAAATGTTCTTGCTCTCTGTGGCATGCTCAAAACAAATATAGCTATCTGTTTACCACTTTTAGTCCATAATCTATAAACCACCATAAGCTTCCTGTAAAGTCAGTCAGAATGCTGAGCAGGGAAGAAACAAATACTGGGGGCAAAAAAAAAAAAGTAAGTTTGTTTTGGCATCAAATTGCCCCGCACTTTGGGCAAGATACTGCTTTTAACTTCCCAATGGCATAAAATTACAGAGATTCTCATTCACACTGAGGTCACTTTATATTGCCGAAGCAGTGGATGACATTTAAATGAAAATCTGTCCCATGGGCTTTCAGCTATATGTCACTGGTTAAATCAGGCCCAGGTAGGTTCAGATTAGAAGTTATTAGCATCTGATGCTCTTTATGAATCTTAGGATGGTTCCCAGCGGATCAGAGCTCATATCTGAGCAATTTAAGTTTGTGTCACATTCATCACCATGGTTCCTGACTGCCTTAGAAGTTAAAATACATCTTTATAAAATGCCTTACATGTCTTAGTTCTCTTTTTCTTCTCTTCCACACAGAAGCTTGAAGTCTCTTTTTACCCTGTTTCCTAATACAGCCTTCAAACACAAGGCTGCATTTCTGTCTGGAAAAATCTTCTCATTGCTAGTTTTATTTCTATTGGAGGCATGGAAACATTCTCTCCCCTCTGCTTTTCATTATCTGCTATCATTTTGTGGTATCAGCGTCCCCTTAACACAACCCAATATTTCAACCATCAAACTAATAACTTCCTTGAAATACATTTACGTTCTTTCTAGCATTGATGCTTTTACATTTTCTTGCTAAGGTGGAAGACACAGCAAGTGTGGGTAATGGCAGCGTATTTAAATAGGCTGAAAAGCAATTGGTAACATTCCTATCTGGTCTGCCGAATTCAACTGCACTGCTTCACTGAAAGGCAGTCATGGCGTTCTGTCACAAGAGGGATTGTTGGCAAAGCACACCACAGCCCTCTGACCTCTCGTTTGGCTCTAATTGGATTAAAGACATTTGGGATTGCAGCATTCATAGGAGTTGAGGGATCTTCCACAACTTCCTGGTCTGCCTGCTTGGTTTCCTTTTCTGTTCTGCCACACCTCAGTGCAGGCAGAAATATCGTCCATACGGCAGCTTCGAATCGATGTCGCTCCTGCAGGTTGTGTTCAAGCTGGATTCCCTGCAGTCGTTGGTTCAGTTTGCCCAGGGCAGATTTACGGAAGTAATCGGAACTGTAACCATCGTTCACTTTTGGAGTGGAGAGCCACGGAAATCCCGCTGGACTTGGTTTCAGGAAATTTAAGTATTTATTCCCATTTACTGCTGTCTAAGTTTCCTGAGAGAAACGAAGCGGTGCTTCGAAGCAGAGCACGCGGGACGCGCGACGCTCAGGGCTGCTAAGCGCAGCAGGACGCGATGCCACCCCGACGGCTCTGCGGGCAGCCGCGCGGAACGGAACGGCCGGGCAGGGCCGGGAGAAACGCCGCGGGGCGGCGGCGGGGAGAGCGCGGGGCAGCGGGACGGCCGCAGCGCGCGCGGAGGAGGCGGCTGAAGCTCGGAGGGGTCGCGGCCCCGCAGAGCCCGCGGGGCAACCGGTCCCGAACGGCCGAACTCGTGAACCGAGGAGCGGCTTCAGGAGGCGCGGAGCCGGGCGCGGAAGCCGGAACTCCGCTGACTACGGAGGCGCGCGGAAAGCCGCTCCGCTACGGGGAGCGACTCTGGGGCCGCGCAAGCCTCGTACCGGCCCGCAGCCCCTCCTCGGACCGCCGCCCGACCCCGCCGTGGCCCCGCCCGGCGCGGGCTCCATTTCCTGCCCCGCCGTCACCTGACGCCTCTAATGGCGCCGCGCGGCCCGCGGTGCCGCCGCGCCCACCACGTGACACCCCGACCACGTGACCCGCGCGCCGCGCCCCTTCCCCGGCGGCTGCGGTTGCCGCAGTCCTAAGCTCCGCCCCCCCCGGCGCGAGCTCCGCCCCCGCCCATCCGCCCCCCTCACGCCGCCCCCCCTCCCCTCCTCGGCCGCGGTCGATGCGCGCGCGCGGCGGTTCCGTCTGCTCAGAACGGCCGCGGCGGCGACGGCGCTGAGGGGGCCCGGCAGCCGGCGCCCGGGGCTGCGGAGCGCGGCGGGGCGGAGCCCGCCTTCTTCCTCCTCGCGCCCTCTTCCCCGTCCCCCTCCTTCCTCCGCCCGCCCGGCCCTCCCCGCACGCAGTCGCCGCGGTTCCCGGCACGGACAACATGGCGGCGGTGGCGGGGGCCGCGGCCGCGGGCGGCTCTGGCGGCGCCGGAGGCCCGGAGATGGTGCGGGGCCAGGTGTTCGACGTGGGGCCGCGCTACACCAACCTGTCCTACATCGGCGAGGGCGCGTACGGCATGGTGTGGTGAGTGCCGCCCTTCCCCGCCCGGCCGCGGGGAGCGGCCCGCGCGCGGCCTCGGGGGAGGGGAAGGAGGGGAAGGAGGCGAAGGCCGGGCGGCTCCGGGCGGCTCCCCCCGCTGCGTCCCGCCGCTCCCGGCCCGGGGGGGGCCGCCGCTTCCCCTGCCCTGCCCGGCGCTGCCGCTCCGCCTCCGCGGTGCCGTCGCGCGGCGCTCACCCGAAGCTGCTGCCCGGCCCGGCGCTGTGGCCGCGGGGCTCCGCTCGGCCCCTGCGCGGCTCCGCGGCGGGAAGGCGGCGATCCGCGCGCGTTGCTCCGGGTAGCGGCGACCCGAAGGAGCTCCGTGCGAGCCGCGAAGCGCTGGGGAGCCATCGCGAGATTTTGGCGGTGCTGTAGCAGCCCCGACGCGCCGGGCCGAGCCGCGATGCCGCCGTTGCCCATCTGGCGCGCGGTGAGCGCGCGGCGCTGCTGGGGCTGCGCGGCTCGGACGGGTGGGAAACTTCTCTCCTCGTTCGCCGACTCGTCACGGCGCTGCCGCTGTTTTTCGAGGCGTTGTTTGGCCGGAGGTGCTGCGTGACACCCGCGGGCTGTGACGGGGTGGAAGCTGTAGCAGCGTTGCTTTCTGTCTCTGACGTTTAATTTTTTGTGAGCCACGGTGTCTTTCTCAGCAGAGGCGCCTCGCAGCCGCCAGCTGCACGCTGTGGATCGGCAGGTCGCTTCGTACTGCGGAGATGCGCTGGCCTGCCGCGGTGAGGCCGCGCTGTGTGGCGGTGGGAGCCCGCGGGGACGCGGACAAACGTCTGCCAAAAAGCTTGGAGCTGCGGCCTTCGCTTTTCTGTTGTGGGAGGAAGCTCCAACACACAAAGCAAAGCTCCCGTTGATGGTGTAAAAATAACCTTGTTATTGGTTTAGTGCTGGGAGTCACAACAACGGCCAGTGCAGAGCTCGTCTTACAGATTTTGTTGTTGTGTGCTTTTATCGTCTGAGCTGGGACGGCTGAAGCAGCGCCGGCAGCCCCGGCAGGCTGCTTTGTCCTTGCAGACTGACTTAGGCAGGTACGTGGGAACAGAGCTCGTGTCGGCGGGGTGATGGAGGTGGTGGCTCAGCCGCTGTGCTAACGCTAAATATTTCACCACCGAGCAAAGATTGCACGGCGCAGTGCGGTGGCAGCTGATGCCCTTTTTTGGCGTCACTGTACTTGGGAGCAGACAGGGGGAAACCGGGTCCTTTCTTCCCCTCTGCACGGTGTGTCATTCCCTTCTGTTACGGAAGGGTTTCCTCTCTGTCACTGGAATGTTATCTTTTGTTTTAAAACTTACCGTATTAAATGATATCTGCTTCAAATACTATCCGTATTTCTTAACAAAAAATTATGAATCTCCAGTTTAGTTGAGATGTGCGTTTGGCTCCTTTGTTTTCTCCTCTAAAGCTGTTAATGTGAGATACTGAATGTGATGCATTGTGCTCTAATTATCATCTTCTGCCTTGGGTGTGAAATGGCAGGGAACAAAGTCTCAGTTTATGCTGTGTACTTGACAAGGGAGGTGTTGGATGCACATGTTCCAGCTGAATGCCATAGCAACTGTAATGCGTTGTAGCGCAGCACACTACTTTGGTTAAGTAACAGTGCTTATTGAGCAGCAGAGGTAGAGCTTATGCAGATTTGTACTGCGTGTCACTGATCTTGCTTTGACTGCTAATGCAGTGAAGATGTGCAGAGCATCTCCCTTCGGGGCGGGGGTGGCAGAGGGCAAGCCACCAGGGTGCAGGTGGAGACAGCTCTTGCTGTTGCAAAAACCATTCAGATTTGTACTTTTAACAAAGGACAGCTGGGCAAGCATTAAGACTTTAGGCCATCAGCTAATGTGTATGAGACAGAAGGTGCTGGTTATTTCTAAATGCCTTGTGCTGTAAGGCTTGTTATATGCAAAATGGGTGACTTAAATCTTAGAATCCCTCCCTCCCTTATTTTTCAAAGTGTTATGTTTCCACAACATTGAATTAAGGAGTTTATCTTAAAAAAAAAAAAAAAAAAAAAATCTTGCTGGGAGTTAAGTGGTTAATAAGTGGGTATATAAGTATATAGGAATATAATAAGTGGTTGATAAGTGAGCATCCCTTTCCAAACTTTTGTTTTTCACTTTTCTTGCATGTGGAACCAGGGAATGAGCACCATGCTCATTCTACTGAAATCCTCAGCACTTTGCAGGACTGTAGGACATGAAATAACAAATACGGGGGTTGTTGGCCTGGGGTCAGCCAGTACTGGCTGCAGCTGGAAGCTGCAGAGCTCTCAGGTGCAGTGTGATGGGTCTGGAAGCTGCCCCTTCCTCACCAGGTGCTGGTGGGCAGCCTGCCCTTAAAGCCACTGGCTGTACTGAGCCCTGAATTTCCAGCAGGAGTTGTTCTCCATCCATGTGGTCAGTGCTAATTTGGCAAGATGATTGTCTGATAGTCTAAAACAAGTCGTTTTTGGAAGGAAATGGTTAATGGGAATCTGATGACAGGCTTCTGTTTTGTATTGTTGCTTGGAACTCTTCTTGCCATCACGCTTATGTAAATGTGAAGCGTTATCACTGCTGCAAACTGTGCATATAAATCATAAGGTGAATGGAAAGTGGAAAGAAGATGGTTTTGAAGCTCACATCATGTGTTTCTTGACCTAAACTTTACACTGTTGCTAGAAGGATGTACTTACTGTTTTCTTTCCAGTCTGTCTGAGTTAGGCATGGGCGGTGCCTGCGTTCCCCGGTGAGGCCACACTGGTGATATGGGGCAGAGGCGGCCTTTCTTTGGTTCTGTTAATTATCCATTGATCTGGAGAGAATTACGCTGTGTTGATGGAGAGAGTGCAGAGTTCAGCGTCCTCCTTTATAAGTGCTTTTAGGGAGCACAGGTTGCATATAGGTGTTGCTACCTGTTAACTAGTGTGTTCTGCTCTCTGATAAGCAGGGAGCTAATAGGCGTTGCCCTGATACCTCCTCATCAGTGCATGGATCAGAGCGGAGGTTTGGAGGTGTAATGGGTGGAGAGTGTCAGTCCCCTCTCTCTGGCAGCAGCCTCCTGCAATGGGATGGTCTGTGCTGCAGGTGGGGGTTGGCAGCAGCATCTCCTGTTCTGCCCTGTGGGTTTGGGGAGGGGAGGTGCCTTGTCTTGGCTGCCAAAAGCAATGGCTTAGGGCTTGGAGAGTGCAGCTCAGGGACACTGCATTCCGTAAATAAATACAGGTTTTCATAACATGGCATGCCCCAGCCCACAGGCACAGATACCTTGTGGGTTTTTTCCCGTTACGTATGAAGGAAATAATGCTGTTGTGCTCACATTAGCTGTGTGTGGTTGCATCGCTGTCTCCTGTACTCCTGCATGAGGATCTGGGACCTATTGCCGGGCCTCCATCGTTTGGCACATGGTGAAGATCTTACCAGATGAGAAATTTCTGCAAGGTTCTTAAAAATCTGTACTTTACCATAGCAGAACAATGCTCTGTGTTTATCTGAGGGGGGAGGGTTTAGACAAGAGATCACTCTGCTGCAGACATGGGTGGGCCTGTTGGCAGCTGTGGCACAGAAGTATGCCCATAGGATGGCAGGGCCCAGCTTCGGCACACTGCTCCTGGGGAGGGATGGCTGCTGGGCATCTGGGGCTGGGGTCCTTCTCTTGTGTTGTGGTAGTGTTCAGCTGTGATCCAGAAAGGAAATTAACTGATCCCTTTGATGTTTGATATTTTGATGTCTTGTTGTGCAGCAGTTCATGGAACAGAGTGGGTCGGGAGGCATTGGTCACCCAGCCTCTGCTCACTGGAAGGCTCCTGCATCCATCCAGCAGCGCAGGTTGCCTGCTCATAATTTCCAGTATCTGCAGATGGAGGTTTCACCTTTTCTCTGGGCAGCTCCTCACACCTAATCAGCTGCCAGGTGAAACTTCTGCATTGAGAAACATGAGAATTTCCCTTGCTGCAGCTTGTCACTGTAACCTCTTGTCACTTTTTAACCTCTGAAAGAGCCCAGACCCTGCAGTGCATCCCTGCTCTGTGGGGCAGGTGGGTCCCTGTGGCTGTGCCTGGTGGTGTGCGGGGTGAGGAGTGCTGTGATGCAGCACGTGTCTGTGCCCGGGGTGGGATTCTTCAAGTAACATCCGCAAAAGCCCTGTTGACTGCTTTCAATGGTACTGAAGTTTGGGTTTCCAGATTGCTCAGGTGAAGCTTGTGGAGGCACAGCTGTCTTGGAGAATTACTGTGCTGTAATGCAGAATGAAGTGAGCAGCATATGTGGAGTGGTGTGTAGTCTGTTCTGAGTGATGGGTGGGCACTGTGTTGAGCTGTGTCTCTCTAGCTGCCTCACGCAGCAGCACCCAAAATCCAACACAAGTTCTGCTGAGGGAAAAACCACTTCTCTTGGGGGTTATTCTTTTGTATTTTAATGTAATTTTCATAAAAGAGTGGAGTGTTCGGAGGTGATTAGAATGCAAATGAGAGTTTTTGTTACATAGTAGAAAGTGTTCATCTGTGTTGTGGGTATGTTTTAACTACCAACAACTTGCAATTAGGCTTACAGTCTATGATGTGTAATTACTTCATGCAGTTTTCCTTGCAAGTAGCAGCTGTCCCCATACCTTCCTGTGTGCCCGGAGTGCCGCCCGCTGCAGCCCGGCTGGCTCAGTGCACACAGCAGCCTTCCGTCAGCATCCTGGGGAAGGCAGAAGCTCCCATGGTAGTGAAGGCGTTGTTGCCTGCAGAGCTCTGAATGAAACAGACAAAATAACTGAGGCTGAGGACTCACTGCTGGCACAATGTTCTGAAAAGCAAGGGATGGCCTTGCACACAGCCTGCTTCCTTTGTGCCGTTCCCGTTTCTGCAGGGTTAGGAAGGCCTTTGCCTCAAGTTGTGTGTGAGCAGTATGGCTCAGCCATTATTACTATCCCTGCATTTCTTTCTTTCTTCATCTTCTTAGAGTGAAATACTGCCAACCGTCTTCTCTGAAGTTTTGCATTGTGTTGGAGACACTGTTTTTCAGAAACGGGCTTGACATCATCCCCGATCTTATGTTTTTTCCTTTTTTCTAAAGCTGCTTTTAGGAGTATTTGTGCTATCTGCCAAATTAGACCCTCACAAGACAGAAGGACGAGCCCAGCTGGGGAACTCATTAAAGCCATTGCTGCTCTCAGCTCTTGGGCCGCACTCTTCCTTCTCTGGTAGGGAAGGAAGCGTTTCCTGCAGTACCTGCCGTGCTTGGAGCACCGCTCCGTGGTGCCGTGCAGGTCACTGTGCGGCCCTGCAGCAGGCAGCTGCTGCTTTGTCCTTCCCACCCTGCTCGGGTCACAGCGTGCCTCCTGCCGTGCTGCTGCAGCGCTGTGCTCTGCAGCTGGTTTAGCTGAGACCTTGCTTAGAAAAGGTTGAGGTGGTGTGAGTGCCGGTGCTGAAGCAGGGAGGGAATAGGAAGGTGCTGGTAGAGGACTTCTTTGCTCTCCCTGTTCCTCAGCTTGCTCGGCTTTGTGCTGCCCTGGATGTGAGATGAGGGAGGGGCAGCGGAGTGCAGCCCTGAGCTCACAGTGGCCGCGCCTGGCTGAGCAATTCACAGGGAAACTGTCTGAAGTTTATAAAGAATATGGAAACTTGGCATAGTGGTGGGTGCTGTGGGTTTGTTTTGGAGGGAAGGGCTTTTCACAGCAAAGCTCACAAGAAATGCGAGTGCTGTTGATCAGCATCTGAGAGCTTGCATCTAACATGGGGGTAAGCATGAAGGCCGAAGGTGGACAAAGCTGTAAGAAGTATGAGGCTAATCCCCATCCATTTCCTGAAGACCAACTTAAGCAGAGGTAGGGTGGTGAGTAGGTACTTACAGTGACTTGAAGTGTGGTGGTACGCAGCTCAAGGTATGGAAGGAGCCGCGTGGGATGGCACTGTCAGCTTAGTGACAGTGGGTTTCCAGGGCCCTGGGATCTGTCAGAACACTGTGGAGTTAAGTGACTCTTTAACAAAGCCATACAGAACGCTGTGTGAAAGCACAACTGCCTTTTCCAGTGCTGCTGCTGGGGCTTAGTGCTGGAAGTGCTGCTCCTCGTGGCTCAGCTCCGCAGCCACTAACAGAACAGGGGTCATTGCTCTGCCACCCGGCATCGTGCAGTGACTCAGCTTCTGGCAGGAGGAACTTATTTCAGACTCCATTTTGCATGACTAGATACTTATTTTCAAAACTAGGAGCAATCTAAGGAATTAAAACATTAAATTGTTACTACGTGCATAGTAAGTATTTTAGAATTATAGTGCTTTGAAAGCTCAGATTTTACTTTGCAAATTCTGAAAAATAAATGTCTGCCTTTTTGGCTTAATAGAATTATTTGAATAGATGAATGAAAACAAATCTCTTACAGGAGGTGCCAAAGTGCCTTAAGAACTTGTGGTGTGAAGGGCAACAACCTGTGCTGGGTCGGAAACTGCCGAGGTGTAAAACCACTTAAGAGCAGTCATTCACTTCTGTTCTGGGGTGGAAAGAGTTGGCATTATTGTGCCAGAAACCTTTATAATTAGGATTGATGGTGAGTGATAGGTGAGAGATGGCCCGGGGGGCTCAGGTGAAGGTCACCCAGTTCCATTTTAGTGCAGTCAGTGGCAGAGGCTGGCAAAGCCAGGATGGAGCAGCACATCGCTCACATGGCACCAGGCTTGAGCTGCTGATGAGCAGCATGTAAATGGGGGTTTAAGAACATGGATAAATTCCTGAGGGATTTGTGTAGTCTGATACTGCTTTGCAGAGGAGTTGTGATAGAAGACTTAGTAACAGAAGTCTACCTGGTGGCACCAGGTCCAGTCAAATGGAATGCTGTTCAGAGAAAATGAGTTCTCAAGTATTGTGCTGTTAGGAACTTTGAGGCAGACCCAAATTCACACTGCTGGGAATTGAGTTGCATGTGCCACTTAGCAAATGTAACATTCTCTTGCTGCTCATTCTTCTGCTGTCGGTTTTGTAACATGAGGTGTAAGGAAATAGGCAGTGCTGATGGCTGTGTGCTGCAGCTATGTGTGGTCTTTGGCTTTTCTTGACAAAAAGATGACGTAAGGTAAATGTGAGCTCATCTCGTACTGCATGACTTGGGCAGGTCTCTGAGCACAGCTGACGGGGCGTTCAGCAGTCGCATGTGTGGTGGCTGTGCTGAGAAGGGCCCAGTGTCTCTGCAGGGAGTGCCTGCATTGTGCCACAGGTGATTCGGGATGCAGAGGTACGTGTTTGTCTTCTGTCCTCCTGTGTGGCACGAAGAAGCAGCCGTGTTCTTACAGCCTGTGATCTCTGTGTAGTTTGAAAAGCAGCTGGAGATTGGAGAGTGGGATTTCTTCTTTTTAATTTTTCACAAATCTAAAATAGAAGCAGCTCTCTGCTTTCAGCTGCTTCGGGAGTTGTGTTTTTGTAGGTTGAGGTCCATTAAAATGAGGGGAATGTAAATATGCACATTTCTTTTAAAAGTGGGTGCTGATTCTCAAGGTTAGTACTAGTGCTTGAATGAATACTATGCTTATTTATCTTAAGAAATGTTAGGAATAGGCGGAACAGGGTATCAAAGACTTCTGTTACCCCTAATTGTTCACGGCTGGGGGATGAGAGTACGTCCAGTGTTAGAAAATGGCACAGCTGAATGTCACTGAATCTGAAACTGCCTACTTTTGTCCCTTCCTCGAGTCTTTGTTCTTAGGAAAGTGTTCTGTAGCTGCTCCCAACCTGGTTGGCCAACTGCATCACAGTACTGTTGTTTTGCATACAGCAGTCTAAAAAATAAGTTCAAGTTATTTGCATTGTAACATGATGGATGTCAGCACGTTGTGGAAATATCTGCAGTCGAGCTAAATGCAGGCTGAGCGAAGAGGCTGAAGGTCTTTCCAGATCAGCTGCTCTGGGAGCCTTGCTTTCCTCTCCAGACTGCAGGCTGCATTATTCAGTATTTCAGAGCGATTATCTCTGACTGTGCCCTTGGAATCTTGTTTCCACAGCAACGCGAAGCTGCTGACAAAACATCCCTTTTAAACTTCAGATGGGTCAGTTCTGAGCTGTAATCGTGGTGTCGGCCCGCAGCGCTTCGTGCCTCTGTGTGCTGCGAGTGGCTGCAGGGCAGCACCGGGCTGTGACCCCACAGTGCAGCCGCGGGGCGAGCAGAGGAGGCGGTTGTTTGTCAGCGTCTGTGTGAAGAAACAGCCCTCTGTGGGATGTGGCTGTGGCCAGGAGCTGGCTCCTTTCTCCCAGCAGCTGCGGCGTGCTCTCACTTGTTCCAGCTCCGAAATGAAACGTGTGAAGAAAAGAAATGGGTGGCAGAGCGTGCGGCAGCCTCTGTGGTAGGAGCTGAGCTTTGGTGCCCGTCCTGTACTGCGTGCTGAAAAGCTTTCCTGCCTTGGGAAGGCGTTAATGGCAGAGGCTCGGTTTGCCTGGCTCCTGCGGCCAGAGGCGGCCCTGCCCTGGAGCTGGACCGCGGTGCCCGGGCTGTGCAGCCATCAGGGCCGGCTCAGAGCAGCACGGCGCGGCTCCCTGGGCCGTACGTGCTCATCTGTTTGCTTTGTGCTGCTGTGTGGGATGTTCTGTTTAGTCAAAACTTTGTCATGTATTTACCTTAAATCTATTACCATAATACTGGGAATGATAAACGGTAGCAGTAGGGCATGTATTGATTTGTACGTGGTGTCTGGAAAGGATCTGGCTAATGGTGCTGCTGCAGGTTGTCACAGGATGGTAGCTGCGGCTTGAAATAGTAATAATGTATATGCTGGAGTTGGGCTGTTGCAAAATCTATGTTTAATTTTATCATGTTACAGATAAATAGCATTCACAGCTGTGGTTGCATCAGCTGGTGAAGCTGCACATCATGATGGGTATAAATCCTTCCTTTTGAATACGTAGTGCTGGTAATGAGATACGCCATCATGGGAGTAACCCAGAGCCCGTAGGGTGCGATGTGCAGCGGTGGGTATATGTTAAGGGTTGTAAACCAGAAGCTATGGATTGGCACTTAGAAGATTCTGGTATAGGAACTGGAATTCCCAGTTCACGGATCTCTGAAAAGCCAGCAGGTTCTTGGCTCTGGGAGGCAGTGCTGGTTGGCTGCTGCAGTGAAAATGACCACACTTACAAGATCCAGCAGAGCCTGGTTAGGCTGTGCACAGTGGGACAGCACTTCCAGAATGTGGATTATCTAAATTTAGGACGTGCTTTGGGATGTATATATGAAGCTATTTCTTCTTGAACTGTAGGGGGAGCCCAGGCAATTGTTTGTCATAAGATTAGATCTCTAATTCTGGCTAAGGCTGATTAAGGTGAATCCTGTGCTAGGTAGTAAGCAAGCTCTTCATTAACTGCAGTGAGTTTTTTCATTGGGGTTTTGGATTTGCATTTCCTGTCACTGCCAATGGACTCTGAGCAATGTGTTCTGTGTTCCTTCAGCTGCTCTGGGGAGCAGCACTGTTGGTAAAGGATTGTGAGGAGTAGGAGGGGCTGTGGGAAATGGTTGGGTCTGGCTTGCAGAGTACTCAGTTATCTTAGTATGCAGTGATTCCTATGTCATGACATTATGTAGCAGTGTGTAATCTCATAGGCTGAATATGGGTGCGGTTGTAGCACGTGTGTGAGTGGGAACACGTGACTTCAGTGCTGCTGAATTCAGTCTCCTGGGTACCTTTCATGGATAAGGACCTGGTCTTCTGCCTAAATTACAGGGAAGAGATTGAAGCTGTTAGTGGTCTAACCTGTCTTCTGTGTCTTTTAATATCAGCATCTTTGGGGCCTTCTTCGTGACCAACCTTTATGTGAGAATCAGCAGCGTAGACAGACATCCAGTATTGCAAGGGATTAAGGCTTTATTTAAGCAGCATCAAGTTGTACACGTTGGGCATTTTGCTTTGCTCTACTTGTCATAGCTGCTCCTGGCTGATACATACGGCTCTTCATTGTGAGAGCAAAATAGGCTTCAGTCAATACAAAGAAGAGAATAAGCTTATTTAAAACAATAAAATGATCTGTAAAATTCCTTTATTTCATTCCCAAGTACAGGCTGTTCACGCTTAAGAATTTCTAGCTTTGTTTTGTGCTGGTGACTTCCTGTACTGGCCTGCTGGAAACACCTGGGGGGGCATCCTGATCAGCCCAGAGAGCTGCCACTGGGGAGGTGGCATTTTGTTATTGTTTGGTTTGGGACTTGTGAGCGGCTGCTGTATTGGATGCACATATGTACTAACAGCAGGTGTAATGAATACTTACTGTGTGGGATTTCAGAGCACTGGAGTGTGGAGCACTGGAGGAGTTTGGTGTTTCCTGAGGCGTGTAACATTTGCACTTGGTCTGTGCTTAAAGATGAGTCTAAGCAAGTCAAAGTGATTCTGTGTGTTGGGGGGGGAAAGGGGGGCGGAGAAGGGATGTCACTGTACGTATATGAGCAATATGAATTTACTGGCAGCATAAATTCTATATCGTTTTTGGCAATAAAAGTGAGAAATGTAAATGTTTTCGCATACTGAAGGTACAGTGCTGTCTCAGAAACATGTTATTGCACCATAAATGTGCTTTGTGGTAGAAGAATCTTGAAGGAGCCAGACATCAGAGTTCCTTTCAGTCGTCCTCTTCTGATTGGATTTTTGTATTTCGTTCCGGCTCACCTGCTTGCCAGGTGCTGCGTAAGGCCAGGAAAGAACGTCCTGGGATCTGATGGTAAAAAATCCGTAGGATGAAAAGCGTGGTCAGCTGGCAGCATGGCTGTATTTTCATGTGAAATAGCCACGGCCAACAAATGTCTAAATATGAGCTTGATAAGTATTTTTTAAGAGTTCTAAAGTAGTGAATAAAAAGAAATCTGACAGGAACAAGATATCCTTATATATTAAAAATCATGAACATTTAAATTCTAGTTATATTAAAAGCATATGGTAATGTAATTAAAGAGAAATTATTGTAATGAGATGCTTTGCCATTTATATAAACAAGACCTTAAAGAACATGCTAGAACAGCCTTGTAACCATTCATAGCCTTTTTGCTCAGTAATAACTGAGGCTGTGGTTTGGAGATCTCTGCCTTCTGCAGAGCCTCACTGCTGGGCTGGGGCGGTGACATTCCTCGTGGGTGGGTGGGCATTCTGAGCAGGAGGCCTGAGCTCCTGTATTGGTGCAGCTCTGAACGCTGCCCTGTGCCCTAAGTGTGGCCTCAGTGCGTTTGTTGATGCTGGGCACCATCAGTGCTGCTGCGGGGCTGCTCCTTGCTTCCCTTCATGTGAGTATTTTATTTTCTGGAATATTTATTTCTCTGCTGTCTTTGGAATTGAAATGGGAGAGGTGTCTTCACAAGTTCCCCATTCCCTTGTTTTTGGAGATGCAGAAAATGCAGTTCAGTGGAGGAGTGAGACACTGTAGGATTCTGCTGCTTGAAAGATGGCTTCAGAGAGCTTTTCCAAAGTGAATGGGTTAACTCAGGGTTAACTTCTTGTCTAAAATTTCTTCTTGATCATGGTGTACAGGAAAAGAGTCAAACTTAATTTTTCCACGGGGCAGTGAAGGAGGTGAATGTGTCTGTCTTTGTTCGGGTACTTGGGACTCAGCAGGCTAAAAGTTGGCTTCCAAAGGTTGTGACCTGTAGGTACCCAAGTAAGTTGAAGAACAGAAAAAATATTGTTGCGCTGTCATCAAATTAAAAGATGTGTGTTACTGTCTACTTCTTTTGATAAAAATAAATGTAAAAACAAGCGAGCAGTCCTTGCATTTGGTAGAATTAACATTCTTGCTTTCTGAATTGAATGAATGAATTTTAACTTTTAACACGAATTATTGATTCTGTTCTAGTTCTGCCTACGATAATGTCAACAAAGTTCGAGTTGCTATAAAGAAAATCAGTCCTTTTGAGCATCAGACATACTGCCAGAGAACTCTGAGAGAGATAAAGATCTTACTGCGCTTCAGGCATGAGAATATTATCGGAATAAATGATATTATCAGAGCTCCAACCATTGAACAAATGAAAGACGTGTATCCTTTCAAAATCTGTTATGCTTAGTGATTGATACCTCCTTCTCTGTTTTCTTTAGATCACTCTTCATCCTTATCCTTACCAAATTTTAATAAAAGCTGGCTTTTATTACTTTAAACTGGAATGGAAGTTCATAGTATTTGATGGATTTGTAGATGCATTGGTTGATAGGTTTGATTCCTAGATAAGCACGAGGTTTTTTTTTTCCCTCCACATTTAAAAAAAAAAAATTCCAAGGCAAAGAACTCAATGTACATTTAGTCCAGTCAGTCTTTGAACTACAGTCACTGTATGCAGAACCTTTGTTACAACTGTCAGATTGCTCCAAGGAGAAAATGGAATGGTAAAGCTCTGATGTAAGTGTCTAAGATTTTCCTAAAGAATGGAAAGGATACATTTGGGGTAGGGGATAAATGAGGCCAAACATCCCTCCACTCTCACTCTAGCCTTGCAGTGCTTCTTGAATATATGAAGTCTGAAACTCCACACGAGCTGGTAAATGTGTACTCATTGTTGGCTTCATGTGTATATCTAACATCAAGGCTGTTACAGCTGAGAGGTTCTGCCCGTGATACCAAGATTAGTTTGGAGTCAACTCGCATCATTTCACTAAGTCTGTATATATTGTTTCCTATTGGCTTCACAGATTTTCACAGATGTCTGCCTTTTTAAAAGCACGAGGCGTTGAATTGAATCTAGGTCAAATGTTCTCACTTCACTAATTAGCAGTGTGCTCTTTGAGCTCAGTCTTCTGTGGGATTCTGAGGTTGCATTTCTGTGGCTGCTGGCTGCTGTAGGTGTGTGCTCTTAAAAAGATGTCCAGATTGTGTGGGGTGATTGGAGCATGCAAAGGAGGGGATGGAAATGCCCAGCTGAAATGGCAGTAGTAGTGGCTGTGTTTGGGGTTGTGGGTTTGTTAGTTTTTTTAATCCAGTTTTGGTGGAAAACTGTCATGGAACTACACTCTGAGAGTTTTGGAGCTGAGTTGAATTAAAGGAAAGGAAATTTTGGCTCAATTCATTTTTGTCAAAGCAGAATTAAATCTTTTAATTTTAATTTCAGTCTTAGGAAAGAATAATGTGATGAAAGATCTGGAATTTAATTTGAGCGCAAACAGTCTTTGCTTACCAATATAATATGATAAACATATAGTAAAGGAGAACATTTTGGAAGTGGCAGAGACTGATCAGAAGTGATTGGATTTTCCATCTTGAAGTGTTTGTAGAGCAGAAAGCTAATAGCTTATTACTCATGAAATGAAAACAACTTGTATTTCTTGGCAAGCAGGATAGAAAGCTAGTCACCGTAAGATTCCAATAAAGATCAGTCTCTAATATAAGGAAATAGTTTGATTATGTCCACGTGCTGGTGCCTCTTAATTCTCTGAGGGTCTCTATCATGTATCAGGATTGATTTGATTCAAAGTCTGTAAAGCAAGAATCAACCAAGTAGTTCCAATTGTGAAGCAAATAAAAAAAAAGAAAAAAAATAGTTTTAGAAGTTTCATTTGGTACTGTATGTTGATATTTAACGTGCCACCAGCTTTGTTTTGCTGCCTTACATCTGATTCCTTACAGATACATTGTGCAAGACCTTATGGAAACAGATCTTTACAAGCTCTTAAAGACTCAACACCTCAGCAACGACCACATTTGTTATTTCCTTTACCAGATTCTGAGAGGGTTGAAATATATCCATTCAGCCAATGTGCTTCATCGTGACCTCAAACCTTCGAATTTGCTGCTCAATACCACTTGTGATCTCAAGGTTAGTGGAAATTTCTTAAAAATTTTGCTCCTATGGTCTTAATCAACTATATAATCTGATATAACTGTGAACAACTATGAATGTGATAGTGTTATTGGGGATTAGTGTGATTTTTGTTGTGGAAAGGTTGCCAAATCATTATTAATTTTCATAAAATGATGTTTGAGAACTGTGCTCTGTTATACTGTTCTAATGAATGCGTCGCTGTTTCCATCTGGAGGCTGACTTTGAAACAGCCTCTTTAAAAGCTGGTGAAAATACCAATCTGTAACACTGTTGTGTTTACTTGGAAGGTAAGCTGACAGTTGTGTGTATTTCAAGTCTTGAATCCCTGTATTAAAACTGTTGATCATTCTGAGATGGAAAAGTACTTCATAATAGCAGACAACCAAAATGATACGTTAAAGTCAGTGCTGATTGGAAGCAAAGCAATCAACTGGGGACAGAGCATTGCTAATTTGCGTTATCAGTCATGGGTTCTTTATGAATTAATACTGCAGATAGATGATCTTAGAGCTGTTACACTTCTTGGAAAATGTTACCTTTTGTTTAGTGGCATTCAGTAAAGCAAATCAAGTGCGAAGAATGAGAACAGAAATAAAGAACAAAACAGAAAACACACCTTGCTGTAACTTTCTGCTCGTGTGATTGTAACTGTCACACTTCTCCCTGTGACGGTCTTCCAAAAAGAGGTGACCAGGATTTCAGGGTGCTCCTACCCAAATGAAGAAGAGCTGTGTTTAGCCTAGGTCTTCCCATCTGGAACGTACTGCTTCAGTAAAGAACGAACACAATAGAGATGGATGAGGTTCTTAGTGGCAAGGAGAGGTAGTGAACTATCACTGTCCTTAGCTATTGAAAATAAAAACTGGATGGGGCAAATGAAAGAAGCAGCTGGCATGCTCAAAGTGAATGGATGTAGTAGTTAACATTCAGCTTTTTTAAGGTGTGGAAATTGGTACATAGAGTAGTGTGACTTACACACCAATCAGGTAATGAGAAGAAAAAGATTTTGAATGCTACCTCTGGTTTAGAATTCCGTGGTGGCAAGTGTGTGGAAAATGAGAGACTTGCGGAGAGCTGTGGGAGCACGTTTCCTCATACACATCAAGTACTTCCAAGTATTTACTGTTGGCTACTGATGGAATGAGGTCGGAGTTTACGTGGCTTTGATCTGATGTGGTACAACTGTTCTGTTACATGCTGTCTTCCCCCCTAATTACACTTATTTTTTTATAGTGGCTCTAACACGCTAATTAAAAAACACAGTAGTAACAACTGACCCTCTGCAGAATGTGAACCGGCTGCTGGCCATACAAGTTTGTCAGAATTCCAAGAAAAATCTTTGCTGCTTTAATGCTCTTTACACTGGTCCGTTCTAAATACTGACCGCTCCATTAGTTTGCTTTGTATTCCCACTGCTCCTTGTCTGCCTTTGCCAACACATCCTGCTGGACAAGTCGCTCTGCCTCTTGCTGTGGGACTGCAGTAGCTGTTGTCACATCAGAGTTCCTCAAGGCATTAACCCCTTCATGAAAGAAATGGGATAAAATCTGTAGTAGAAGCAGGAAAGAAAAGTGTGAGCGTAGCTGTGTGTGTGCAGTTAAAGGAAGAAGTGTTTTAAGACAAGATGCTCATAAAAAGTAAATTAAGTTTGCTGGGCAGCAGCGTATGAGCTCAGTAAATACTGCTCTGATTTCTTTCTTGGGTATTAAAAAGAGCATGCCTCTGCAATGTGTGCTTTCCTAGTGCAGAATGTGGTAGTCTGTATGAGAGAGCAAATGCTTTTTCTTAACCTAAAGGGAACTGTGGTGTTGTTATTACCACATCTGAAGTGTAAACAATGGAATTGAAAAGAAAGTGTGTGTTGGGCCTTGTCTGGTGAGCACTGATTTGTGCTGACTTGTTTCTTCTAGGGCTGTTCTGCCAGTCTGTGTTATGCACATGTGCATGCTTACAAAGTGATCATTGCACAGTGTCCCATGAAAATGAACAGCTTTAAGTCATGTTTTCAGGGGAATGAAAATAGAAATTTTATTCCTCTTAAGTGTTAACACTGTTAATTGTTCTTTAATGGCATTGTGACAGAGAGCTGCTGTGCTGTCTTTACTTATGTTTCCAGTTTCCTTATTTTCTCTTTGGAGGAAGGACAGTAAATGGCTCTGAAAGCCATGGAGCCTCCTTATCAGTGTGGATAAAAACACTTTCTCCTTTTTGCCCATCTCACTAGTGTACATCAGAGATGATTTTTTTTCATGATTATATAAAATTATTTTCCTGGCATAGGATTGAGAAATGTTCTCTTGTGGGTTTTTGTGCTTATGCTTCCTTCAGCAACCTGTAATCTCTCCAGTATGCCATTATCTCGTGATGGTTTTTTTGCAAAGCTACACTGTTGTAATGGTACTTTTCGTAACATGGGGTTTTGAACTGTTCTTCAAGTGTGTTGGTCATTAATTCTTTTTGTTGTTGGAGAGCTTAATCTCTTTTTTTTTTTTTTTTTTTTTGTAAAATTCAAATAAGTTGGAGTGGTATGCTTTACCCCTTCCTGGCGGATACAATGTTAAATGAGTCCATAGCAGAGCATAAACTATGCCTGCAAGCTGTTCAGACTACTTATTCTCCTTGACCTGTTTGGGGCCTTATCCAAATAGCCTTTTTGTATTTGAGTTGCAAATATTTTTTCCAACCTTTGTGAGATAATTTATTTCTGGAAGTATGTGCTAGCATCACTGTCCTTGTAAGTGTAACATCGTAAGTGGGGTGACTTAGAAATATTGCAGTATGGGGAACTGTATGTATGTATGTCTAATATGCTTGCTCTTTTTTTTTTCTTTTTAATTTAAAACCAGATTTGTGACTTTGGACTGGCTCGTGTTGCAGATCCTGACCATGATCACACAGGATTCCTGACAGAGTATGTGGCCACACGTTGGTACAGGGCTCCTGAAATCATGCTGAATTCTAAGGTAAGAACTGCAGTGTGCTGCTGTGGTGCTTCTGTTGTTCATTATTCACTTGTGAGCAATAAATTTTTCTTTTCCCTGCCCCCTCTGGATTGTGGTTGGTTGGTTTGTTTGTTTGTTTACAATTGGAGCTCATGTATAATGTTGAGGGAACAGAGAAATGGATTTACAACATAGCTATTGGTTTGTGGTAAATTTGGGATTTCAGATACAATTATTGGATACTACAGCTGAGTAGAGATGTGCTTGAGTCCCCATCTGCCTCATCTCTTGCCATTCACAAGACTTTATTCTGTCAGATGCTCTCTTTTGTAGAGCAGGACAGAAATGCTGGTGATGAGGGCACTTCAGTGTATTCAGGAAGGTTTGCAAGTATTGCCTTAGTGTTAATCTTGACATCTTTGTTTAGATTTAGAATGTATATTGAGGGTGAGTCTTATTTTGAAGACGTGATCTTTGCTGTATGTCAATCCTAAATGTGTTCTTAAAGTCTTAATCAAATCATCCTTTTGTTTTTTTAATACTTGAAATTATTCTTACATTCTTCTATGCCTTTGTTAAAGTCAATCTGTTTTCTTATGATGCAGTGGGTAACCTCCATAGCCTTTGCAGAAGTTACCACAGCGGTACACTTGGTAGTGTCAGTGTGACAGCTCTCTGTCTTCTGTATTCCTTAAAGGCTTTGTAGGAAAACTGTTTCATTGGTTGTTCAGATTGATTTTTTTATTATTATTTTTTTGCAGCAATGTGCATGTAGAAAATAATTATCTGCTTAGTTGAGTTCTTAGGCTCCTTATATTTTTAAATTTCCATTGCGGCTGTAAGCATAGGGCAGCTTGCCTTTATTCCTGGATTATCAGCAGCTTTTACAAGAAGATATCTCATGTGTTTCTCAGGAGGTACGCAGTGCATGATGTTCCTGGTCAATGACCTGATTTCTTTCAGAATTAGTGTGTAGAAAACAAGCAGTCAATGATAGGATGGTGAGAAGCTGGTGCTGAGCAAGCAGTGGGTTCAGAGGTCGCTTGTTTTGTGCGAGCTCCTTGCTGGTGGGAGGGGAGCAGCAGGCTATGGGAGGGTAAGGTGAGGGCATTTCTGAGGCCAGTGGTTCTTGAGGTGGAGTTGCCTGTGTATTACCCAGGCACCAAGGTGGATACATAAGAAAAGGCTTTGATTCCAAAGTGTATAACGCAAGTTACTCATCTGAAGATGTTGTTTGTTCCATTCTTCTTATCACAGTATTTGGCCTTCTCACATCATCTTTACTTCTTACTTTCCCACTGTGTTTACAGATCAGCTAACCAGCAATCCGTATTGCCCTTTCACTCCCTTGGTGGTGAAGGTTTCTTACTGACCTATGTGTGGCTTTTTCCCGCTGCTCATGTGTTCAGCGTAATGCTGGGAACTGCAGTAACCTTGATGCTCTAAACTTCTAAGAGTCAAGTTAGTGTAAGGCCTGTTAATGAAATCTGTTGATGTAAATTGGCTATAGAATTAGGGAGTCTCACAAATATATATCGTTGGTCCTATGTACAGCTAAACCTATTGAATCCTTTTGGAAGAGTGTACATTGCTTATTTCAGGTTTTGCTACTCATTTGAAGCAGTATTTTTGATCTACAGTTCTTAATTATTTCATTATATACCAGAAAAATTGAACAGCATGAACAGGCATGGCACATTTAAACAGTTTCAGTGCATTTGTACTAAAGTAATGTGTTACTGCAGTTATGCAAAAATATATTTGATTAAAAGTTTTTTGTTTTGCTTTGCTTGCAGGGTTACACCAAGTCTATTGACATCTGGTCAGTAGGCTGTATTCTGGCAGAGATGCTCTCCAACAGACCCATCTTTCCAGGAAAACACTACCTTGACCAACTTAACCATATCCTTGGTAAGTTTTACATAATAACATTTCCTCATCCATCCACTTCTCTTCATCTTTTCTACCAGATGGACCAATCTGGGTCACCCATTTTTTTTCTTTTAATCTTTCAGTTCCTTTACTCTATATATTGTCCTTTACTCTAATCCATGGTAAACATTCTGTGTATTCTGTGCACGTGGTGTGGATTCTTCTTTGCAGCACTTTTAATGTTGGCTCTTAGGAAACGTGATATGACTGCTATAATGTGACTTTCATAGGAGTGCAGTACTGTTTGTGTTTTTATTTTTATAGGTATACTTGGATCCCCTTCCCAAGAAGATTTGAATTGTATAATAAATTTAAAAGCCAGAAACTATTTGCTTTCCCTACCACACAAAAATAAGGTACCATGGAACAGGCTGTTTCCGAATGCTGACCCCAAAGGTATTTTATTCTCTATTACATTGGATCAGATTTTCAAAAGTGGAAATGAGCACCAAAATCAGTGGCAGAATGGGATATTTTTTAGAACCACTTTATAGACTTTTAGAGCCACTATATAGAATTTATTTGAGTTGGAGTTAGAACATCGGGGTCTGTCCTGTATCAGATGTAAGATAATGAACCAAGCATGAAACTCCTCTCTTGTTCTTAAACAAGTCAAAAATTGTGTTATGGTCTTTAACTTTGTAAAAGGTGGGAATCCCAGCTGTTGTTGTCTTAGAAAGTCATATCATATTCAGATATGAAGTGTTGACATTGGAGTTTTACAGTTTGTTTTGTTATATAACTGATGTTTCCTTCTAGCTTCTACTTTGTGTAGTTGAAGGATTACTGTATGCACGGCACAGCTCTCATACTTGTTCTGACACAGTGCATGTCACCTGAGGTTTTTGAACTGATAAAATAATTTGCTTTCAGTGAATATGATCAGAAGTGTCATGAAAAAGCTGATTTCTGCAGCTGAAACAGTAGAGCCGATCATCCTTATTGAGGGAAACAGCAGTGATTTATTCTGTTTTTATAACTGTGCTCGTCAGTGTGAGAAATTTTTACTGGGGTTTTTGACAGCTTAAATGACAGTGAAGCTCATGTGCTTAGCTGCTGGGGAACATGCAGTCACTGTGACTTCGTAGCACCTTTCCATCTAAACCTTCAGAGCAGCTTTAACAGAGCAGGTTTTCAGAAAGCTCTTTGCCATTGTTTCAGTGGGAAGCAGCGTGCACAACATGCTTTGGCATGGAGAAAGCAGGGGGGTTTCTGGGTCTGTGAAAACAGGCCTTCCAAAGGGTATATGATTTTCTATACTTGTTCTTAAAATGTGCCAGAGCCGAAGGAAACTGTAATTTAGGAATGCTGATAAGATGGACAAAAAAAGACGCACTGCCCAACTCAGAGGAAGCATTTTGCTGTTTCTGTTGCTGCTACTGCTGTAAATGAAAATTAGCACAAAACTTAGGGAAGCTTGTTTTTCTTATGTAATATCTGTAGCATTTATTGTACTTAGCTATTTGAAGTGTGTATTAAGCTCTTGTTTGCTTGTTTTTCATCTTAGCACTTGATTTGTTGGATAAAATGTTGACCTTTAATCCTCATAAGCGAATTGAAGTGGAACAAGCTTTAGCCCATCCCTATCTGGAACAGTATTATGATCCAAGTGATGAGGTAAAAACATTGTTAAAACGTGAATCTTGTTGATAAAGTGATACAATGTGTTATTTTCTTCATTAGTTTATGGACAATGTTTCTACTTGTGGAATGAAGAGTGGATGATATCATTTTACCAATGTGGTTAGAAATATATATTCTGCTTCCCAGTGGAAATTTAGAGTAGTATTTCGAGCCCTAACAATAGCTCAAGTGTTCCAAATCGAGACAAATAGTAAGCAGTTGAAGAGCTGTATGTGCTCTTTACATCTGAAAATAATGCTGCTACTTTTTAGACATCTTTCAACAAATTTTAATCTTTTGTCGCAAAGTTTAAACTTTGCAACTCTTTTAAGTAGTGTATTACACTTTATATCACAGACCTAACATGATCAAGAAGGTTGTTATTCTCTTGCTCTCTACAAGAGAATATAAGCAGTAACTTATATCAAGTGGCCCTTATAGACCGAGAAGTCTTGCTTGTATTTAGAGATAAAAAGAAGTTGTTTAAATGTTTGTTTAATAAAAATAAGAGGAAAAAAGTCAGCCTGATTAACTGAAATTAATGTCCTGCTTTTGTTTTGATCCAGTGCTACATTTTGGAGGCACAACACAAAAATAAATATATGCTAAGGATACTATTATGAAAATGGAATTTCTCAGTTCACTGTGGTTTTATTTCATAATGGCTGAGATGAGGCAGGAGAGGTAACAGAACTTGCCTTTGCGCTGTGCTTTAAAAGCCCTCAAAGCTGAGCTTACTGGAGTTGATATAATACTGATGAGATTTCAGGTTGCTTATGAAGGAAGGGAGGAGGCTTTCCTTGGGGGTAGATTTATTCTGAGAAATCTGATGTTTCTGATTTTTGTTCAGGTAGTTACTGAGATATAAGCTGTTGTCAAATATTCTCTTTGTTTTGCATTTGACTGTAATTTGATTTAAAAATTTTTAAACTAATATATGAAGCATATAAGGAACTAATTGAATGAGTTGTTCCTCATAGACTGCAAAATACTGCATGTTTCTGTGAACACGCTTTTAGATGTTTTTTTCCATTCAGTATCTCTGTTAATTTCAACAGAACAATAATAGTTTAAAAAAGACGAATTATTACCTTTTTTCTTTAATTTTATCAAGCCTGTAGCTGAAGCACCCTTCAAGTTTGATATGGAATTGGATGACTTGCCGAAGGAAAAGCTGAAAGAACTGATTTTTGAGGAAACTGCTAGATTCCAGCCAGGATATCGATCTTAAATTGTGCATAGGTAAAGTTACAGCGATAAGAAACCATTTGACCAGAATAATTTTGGAACTCAGTGGTTACTGCTAGTGAGATGTATGACTGACAGTTTCTACTGACTTGCTAACTAGCTGCTGAAGTGCAACTTTCTGCTTGTTCGATTGACCTCAGTCCTGTTCTCTTACTGAAGAAATGAGTATAGATTGCAGTGCTGACCTGTCTGCAAAGAATCTGGGCAATGGTCTTGAGATGTTTACCCAGTTCTCAGGTTGCATTTAAGGAATAAGGGTTGCATTTGATTTTATCCTCAAATAAAAGTGATGAGAATGCTACTGAAATGCAAATCTTAAAAACAAAAACCACAACTTTTCAAGGTGTCAGTGTTCTTTATAGAAGATAACAGAGTATTTTGTCATGTGGCTTCAAGTGCTCTTTAAAATCTCTCCCTTAAATTTAATGTGCAGAGGAGAAATCTCTTGAGCTACTCTAAAAAAAAACAAAAGGCCCAAACCATAAATCTTCAGTGAGACTTCAATTTTAAGTACCTCTGAGATAATTTTATGAGTAATTAACTGTGTAGCTGTTTGTAAATCAGTTATGATTACATTTGCTAGTCCTTTGAAGATCTAAACATGCTTAATTTGAATTTGCTGATATTCGCTGCCTGTGTTTTGTTTCAAATCAATAAACTTGTCTTCATGTACTTTGAGGCTTGCATGTCTTGGTAGTTCCATAGAAAATTGGTAACATAATTAACAGTTTATTTTCTCTAATATTTGTGGAATGAATGTTTTTAAGTAACTAAGCTTTGTAACTGGACAGGAAACTAAAAATACGAAGACAACTGCCTGATGCAGGTTCCCTATTTAGTGGCCTTAAAAATGATTTCCATGGTTTTCTCCATCAGCAGTTCACAAATAGTCTCTGGTTGACAGTTCCAGCAGAAAGTTCTGATTCTGAGCCTGTGCACTTCACTGTGAGCCATCTATGGCTGTGGCAGCAGCGTGTAGGAATTTTACTGCTTTGCTATAACCAATAATCCTTCTGGACTAAAAATGGGATTTCTGTTCCTGCATTGCTTATGCTTCTAGTCTCTTTTAATTATTACTTGGTAAGAAAAGAGGAAGGAAAAAAAAAAAGTTGAGTAAACTGTAAATAGTTTTCCTCCTTTTGTCACTAGCTTGAATACTGAATAATTGTATTGAACGTGAAAGTTCACAGCTGAAGTCATTTTGATTTTTGGAAACAGTGAATCTTGCTTATTAAACTTACTAGCTAACATTTGAAACTCTTAATAATTAGAATTTAGGTAAATCTGAACTTTATGCAGTTGGACATTCCCAGTAGAATTAGACTGGCACACAGTAAGGCAGATGGTGCCTGCTTCCCTCCTGTGTTGTATAAAGCTAATTCTGTATGAGAAGCACTGGGAGTGTGTGCACATTCTGGAAGAAAATTGTCTTACTGGAGTTAGATGAAGCCTGTATAGGCCATGGAATCAAGGAGGGAGAGCAATAAACTGGCACTGTGGTAAATCATAGCTCATGATCTCTGCTACTCGCCTCTTTGCCCAGACTGCACGTACCTAGGTTGTATTAGGGATTAAGGGATAAAGGGATGAGGAGTACAGATAGCAGTGATCCAGTGCTAAGAGAAATCTCTGATCTGCTAAAAAATGTTACCTTTCAGAGCTGCTACGAAGAGTTGATTTGGCCAATAACATACTGAAATTTAAGTATTTTACTTAATTAGATAGTGATTCACTAGCAACTGTATGAGTAATTTTTGGTCAGAATTATTAGGTATTCCACAACACAGCATTTAAATGTAAGTAGCTGACACCCTAGTGAAGTCCAGTCCCTAGCAGTTGGCTCGAACTGCACAGTAAGTCTCTTCCTGTATATTTCTGCTCTCCTCCGCAGCCCCTTGCTATCACCTGGCTCTGCTCAGTGTGTTCTTTGCATTGTAGTTTTTGACTCTAGCTTTTGGAATTGTGAAGCAATGTGGGGAAAAAAAAACAGTTCTTCAGATAACCAAATAACGTAGGTCACTCATTTGGAGAAAGGTAGAAATAGGAAAATGTTTTAAGACAACGTTAAAATTTCCTTCACTGAAATGTCTCTGCTTTTTTTTTTTTTTTTTGTAGGACAAGGACTTAAAGGACTGGGCATGCTCAAACGTTGCTGTTCCTCTTCCCAGTTCTTTACTGTTGGTCATGTCTTGTGGCCTCTCTCAGCTTATCCACTAACTCCTTTGAGCCATTCAGGAGGGCAGTTCCTGGTAGTTTTGGCTTTTCATGCTTTCAATGAATCTTTTAAGCCTGAAGAATTGTAATTGACACTCCTATGCGTAATGCCCGTTGTTGACCTGTTGCAGTACTGTACTGTAAGTGCACCTACTGCTGGCCGTGTTTTAACTGCTTGCTTTCTGGTTTGAGAGATGCAGTGGTTCCTTTCACTCCTGGATTAATATCCAAGAAGATAATTCATTAACTGATGCGAAGTTTACACCATGAACTATGTTTTTCTGACTTTACTGAAGTCGCTGGCATTTTTTTTAGAAAAGCTACTATTCAGGGCACTTTAAGTCAGTGACATCCCAGATTTTTTTTGCACTTCCTTTTTAAATAGAAATGGTTAGCATCCAGTGAGTGGGGTTTTACCATTATGCTCTGGATTACAGCATAAATCGTGTTCGTGTTAATCTTGCTTATGCACTTGTTTGGGTGTCCTGTGCTGTACATACAGGTATTCTATACAGTGTAATAGCCACATAGGAACCCATCTTAATTGAATTCATCTAAGAAACGTTTTACCATGCATTGACAAAATTTGTACCTTTTTTTTCCCTGCCTTTTTCAAAAGAGATCATTTTAAGTTTAACCATGCTGGGAGGGGTAGTACTTCCAAAGTTCATACCTTGTGGTCGTGTTTATAAGGCTTGTGCAAGGAGAATGAGTGGCAGCTTGCTGTCTTACTTATTCCCTGTGTGATGGGAGATTAACAAAGAACATAATGGCACGATGACCTAATGGTGAATGCTTTTCTTTGTGGAAGGCATCCGAATGTGGTAAGTGAGAAACCCAGATATGATGTTAGTAAACTCAGCCTGCAAACTTCATACCAATGAAATGTTTCAAGTGAGAATTGGTTTTACATTTGAATCTAATCACTGACATTCAGAATTCTCGCAGAGAGGAACACTGCATCTTTAAATGAGAAAGTTTGAATTTCCTTTTGCTCCTACAGCATGTCAGCATCTCAAGTTCATTTCTTGCAACCTACACTATGGTGATTTGTAATCAAGCCTCCATGAGCTCGTGACATAAAGTACTGTTCTGTTGTCAAGTACTATCAAACTTTTCTGATAATGCTGAGTTAGGACAACCAAACAAAGCTAGCACTAAATAATGTTTAAAATTGTATACCTTTTAATGATCTTTTCAAGTATTTGTTACTGAAATTGTATAATGTGGAGTTTACTAGGTGTTATGTTCCAGTGCAGTGCCTCCTTTTCTTTCCCCACTGCTCTCTGTGGTGAGAAATTTGCCTTGTTTAAAATGATTACTGTGCCCTCGCATGACTGTTAAAGCTTTCTGTGCAAAGATGATTGTTTAAGTGCCACATGCCTATGATTGAGAGAAAAAAATCTATTGTTACCTCTGAGTTGTGTTCAACTGAAATGCTATTCAACAAATAACTTAGGAAAAATAGTTCTATTTTTAGCTTTTCATATCTCTGCTGTCTTCTCAATTTATTTTGGCAGCAGTGAAGAATGGATTGTATAGACTGCTTGCTAATATGAACAAAATGCACTTGTAATTCCTGGAAATAAATTTAAATCTTATATCTTCACATTAACATAAAGAATTAGTTTTTGGTTTCCTCTTGGGTAACGTGTTTGAATGGAAATCAGATTCAGTTGCTACTGCAGTATTACAAGGATGCTTGCTGGTTAGCGAATCCAGGCTTCCTCATTCCACTTAGTCTGCTTTTCAAAAAAAAAAGAAAGCCATTAACTTAGATTTCAATAGGCAAGGGTGCTTACAAGATTCCACTTCAGATTTTTTCTTCAAGTTTGAGTCTTAGTCGACCAAAACTAATTTTTAATAAGCAGTGGTTCATTTTAAGGGGCATTTTCAGTTAGGAAGTTCTTGTGGTACATACATCTCTACTGTGTGGAACAAAAGGAGCATAGTCAGGACACTGCACAAGTGATCGTGGAATCGTGATATGGAGCCTGTGCTGCAAAAAGTTTCTATAGAAATTATGCACTTGACTGTTGAAACTTGTGTGGAAATTTTTTCTGATGTTTCTACACATCTTTACCAAAATGCTTTCCTCACGCAGTTCTGAGAAGCTGAAATATTTCTAGAATCTCTGCTACTTGTACCATCGTCATCATTACAGGAATCATGGTTGGAAAGATGACTGTTACTGAAATTGGTTTGTAACACCTCAATCCGAATTTATTAAGGAAGAATTTTGGCAGCTTATTTCATCCTTTTCCCAATTCTTTTTTTAATACTTTAATTTTGGGTTTCTGGAGAGGTGTAAACGTACCCTTGCAATCTGTCTCTCAGAACGACAAGCCAAGGGTTTGCTTTACCTAACATGTGGTGCTTTCAGGCTTTCTTCCTTAGCTGTCCTCACTGAACCAAATTGGAGTCCATCGGTACCAATAACTGCATCCACCAGTCTTCTGCTGAACGCAGTAAACGTTGTTAAGCTGAGTGTTACGTTGTCAAGTGCAGAAGCATGACTTTTTCTTTTGTCGGATATTGAAAATGTTTAAAAGAAGGTGCCTGTAACACTGTTAGGTCGGCTATTGCTCCATTTTACGTTTTTTTTTCCCCCTCTTTTACCTAGTTTTTGTATATGTAGAGCAGAGACCTGAAACTTGGTTTTGAAGTAATATATATTTAATGGTAAAGATGTTTGGGAAATAAGGAGTGTAAACAGTTGACTGTCTAAACATTGCAACTGTACTGCGGAAGAAAAATAGGCGAACTTAAACTTCTCTTGAATGCTTTGGCAAAGGAAGCATCTTCTGCTATCCTGACTTCCCCAGAATCTTCCTCACCACTATCACACGTACGAGTCTGAGGCGTACAGCGCCCTGCCTGGCTGAGCAGCGTGCTGCGCTGTGACATTTCAGCAGTAGCAGATGGTGACGTGACTCAGCAGTGGCCAAGTGCAACCCAAGGAGTTGAGCATGGCTTTCTTTACAGAATGGGGAAAAAGAAAAACTTGTTGCTGCCCATTGTAATACGCTATGATATATTTATACCATGTCAAAGTTGTTTGCTGAGCAACTGTACTATAGATTTAAACTTTATTAATATATATTTGCTTATGTTAGTGTAGTTTCTATAGCCCTTGGTTACTGATGAATTTGTGTTGTTACAGCACTGTGATATGGTATAAATATAGGCCTATACACACAACATACTCATGAATTTGGTCCCTTGCACAGTACTTTTATATTTGTACAGCGATGTCTTCAAGCAATCCCAGATTTTAGGGGAAGTATTTTTGTAAATGCAGTGGTTTAAACAAAAAATCCAAACAGTCCTTTTACTAAGTTTAAAATGAGTTTGTGGTTCAAAATGGTTTCGTTAATGACTGAAATCAAGACACTAAATTAGTGAAAAGTGCACATTAGTAAAGTGAAGCATACCATGGTTTTCTGTAGCATGTGCTGTGATCAAGCTAGGGGAAGCATTGGATGAAATGCAAAAGTTGGACTACCTTTGTAAATCTAGAACAAACGTCTGAAGGTTGCAGCTGGATTACTTACTATTGTTGCCTTTTCTTGTGTTGTATCAGTGTAGAGCACTCTTAAATACTCAAACTGCTTTGTCTTTGCTTTGTACTGTTGGTGCCTTCTTAGTCACGTACCCCACATGTCCTGCATAGCTAATTTAGTTAATGGTAAGTTTAAAATAAAATAAAGGAAGATTTTATATATTAAAAAAAAAAAACACCTTTAAAACTTCATTTTCTGTATGTTCTTATTCATTGTAACAATTAAACATTTATATTGTGACAGATTTGTGATTTGGTTAATCTGTATAGATCAGTTGTAAGTAGCAAAGGTTTATATTTGTCTTATTCTTTTAATGTTGTAAACGTATGTGATTTTCTTCTTTAAATCAGGTAACTTAATGTTCTGTTTCGTTTTTGGCATCTGAATCTTGTAAAAACAAATGCAAAGAAAATCATTAAATTGTGTCCCTGTATTACCAAATCAGCATAGTACTGTGCATATGTAGAATGACTGAAATTTTACTTTAAAAGGACCTGCTGTTCTATGAACCATGGTGCATATTGCATTAGCGTGTCTAAAAATGAGTCGCCTGAATGGAGCAGTAGCAGATAGCCTACACTCATGTTTTTGAATGCACAAGTGTGTGTGTTTCGGTGTATGAGTATACCAGTTTGAAATTAGAGGCATCCAAAACATTGCAGGTAGAGCTTACAGACGAGCAGAAGTGTTATATCTTTGTGGCAAGGAAGTCACGAAATCAACATTGTGAACTGTTGGGCACAGAGGTGGCTTTGGCTCGCTCAGTAACCACTTCCCAGGAAATTTTCCGAAGAAGTACTTGAGCATCCTTAGAGACCAAATGTTTTCAGTTTGATATGAAAACAGTTCTTCTCAGGCCGAGGTTTGAAGCATTGTGAGGTTTCTGGGAACAATGCACTCGTACATCCTTGTAATGGCATTCTCATGAATATTTTTTAGTCTGAAATCCAGCTGTGCCAAAGAACTGAGAAAAGGTGTAACTGGATCATGGCAGCTAGAAACTCCTGTAATTTGTATGGCAGCATAAAAATCTGACCTGAAACTGGCAGGTGCTTGTCGGTAACTAACAGCTCTGTAACAGCTCTAACGACTGGCTCGTTAAAATTCCTCTCTCCATCCCCTCTCTGGTCTTCACAGCAGTATGCATTTTTTTTCCAGAATGTTCAGAGTTTAATTTTGCCATAAATACAGTTAGGCATGTTGCTTTTTCATCGACTGTAGCTGCCCTTGTCTGTTCGCTGTAGCAGGACGCGGCGTGGCAGTGTGTTCCAGTGAGTCACTTCGGAGTCGGACTGAACTGCATCTTGTCCCAGCAGAGGCTTTGAGAAGCTGCTGCTTGACTCAGTATTTTTGTCACACTTGTTTAAGTAGGATTAGTTGGAAAACACTTTGCTTTTATTTGCTTTGTTCCACCAGAATAGGACGCTGATCCTTCCTGTCTGTGAGCTTTGAAGGGCAGTGGGTCGTGAGACCTGGGCGTCGAGGGCTGCACAGCTGAGCGCTGGGTGCGCGCAGGCTCAGTGCTGTGTGGATGGGCTCTGGCAGGCAGGGCTCTGGAGGCTGCACAGCCGGCGCTGGAGGAGCTCGTGCTCTCACAAAGTCTTTTGAGGAACTACTTCTGATTATAAGCCACGCTGATCTGAACAGTGTAGATTTGATGCTGTTGGGCTTTGTAGAGCTACAAGCCCAGTATTTTCTCTGCAGACAGAAGTTCTCACTTCTGCATGTTTCATTGTGCTTTCTACTAAGTAACATTTGTGTAATGCTTGACAAACCTAAAAAAAAATGAGCATTTGATAATTGTAGAAGACTTAAAATCTTCATCACGGCACGCATTGACATGTCAGTGATTCGGAAGAGCTCTGGTTCCTCTGCAGGACAGCATTCAGGCAGTGGCAGATGCCAGAGGTGGGCGGTGCGCGTCGTGCCCTGCGGGGCTGAGCTCCCATCGCGCTGTGCTCGTGTGAGGGCTAATCTTGGAATTAAGGTGTGAAAATTGTCCTGTGAAACCTTTACCATTCCGCTGCGTGAGGTACTCACACCTAATACTTTCCTTCAGGTATTCTGCAGAACTCTGCCTGTTTTTTCAGTACATCTTGCTACAGTGACAGTTTTTTTCTTTGTCGTCTTATTCAAAGTGAAGCTGAAGTCTCAGCTGTTCCAAAAACCTTTCTTTGGATTCATGTGGTTCTGGTGATACACGACCGATTACTGGTCCTTTACATAAACTGATGTGAATCCTCAGAAAAGGTAAGCAGAAATACCTGGCGGGTCTGCTGGGGCTCTTCCTGCTGAAAGCACAGCATGCGATCTGTGATGGTTCATTTCTGAGGGGCAAGATGAAAGCAGATGAAATGAGGAGAAAGGAGCGATGCATTTGGGTGAGATGTGGTGTGAGGAGTTGTCCTTTGTTGCTGTTAGAAACTTGAGCCTGAGATTCAGCAGACCTTGGTTTGAACTTTTCTGACTCTTAATCCTTAATTCCTTGTAAATACTGGAAACCTCTTGCCATTTCTCTAAAGTATCCTCACATCTTCCTCGCAGCATGCACCCACTCTTCAGTTCTTCCCCTTTCCCACGCAGTTAATCATTCTGGCAGAGCGATGTGTGATCCTTTAGGAGTTCGTTTCCCTTGTGCAGGAGTGGCTTGTTAGCATGAGGGATGGTAAAAGGAATCCTTGGGCATTTTTCTGATTCCCCAAAAAAAGAGGAAGAAATGTCTTGAAAATGCTGGAAACCCAGCTTGCTGTCTGATCTAAAAATACTGAGTTGAATCCTTTTGTGTATCGTGTGAGCCTTTCTGTGGGTTTGTGTGGTCCTGCAGTTGTGCCAGCTGGTTGATTGAAATGCTTCTCTGTCTCCTTCCGTTGCTTCTTGCACGGAGCTGACCTTTGGTCCTGCTGAGTTTCTGTCTTCCAGTGATGCTTTTCTTCCTCAGGGTTTATACATTCCACGTTGGTATTTTTCTCCCCAGTCCTTTGACTGCTGTGACTGACTTGGTGTCACTTTTTTATTCTTCCTTCTCCTTATTTTGCATGGCTGTAGCTTCCCTATGGTCTCACAACTCTCCATTTGTTTCCTTTTTAGAAATGGCTATTTTTTTAGTTATTCTGTTAGGCCATGGACACAGCCATACTTCGCAGAGCTGGGCCCTGGTTACAGGCAGCTGACTTAAGGGCTGCTGGTTACACTCCAGCCGCTGGCCTTGGGGAGAAAACTTGCATAGGCAGAGCAGCTCCTTGAATGCAGTTCCAGTGCCTGGCATTGCGCCGGGTGCGGTTCTGCACAGTGCAGCGATCTGTTCATTCCACTGTACTGTTTTAATGCCTTGAATACAAAAGCCAGAAATAGCAATGGAAAACTTCATTCTCCCTAGCTATGATGCGTTCTTCTGCACTACTGAAACTATATAAAAATTCAGGCTTTTTAAGCAAAAAAAAAAAAAAAAAAAAAAAAAGCGAAACCCAAAGCTGTAAGAGAATGCCACGAGTTTAAAAATAACAAAACAATAAAAACCTGCTGTTATCAGGAGACTTACGATGCACCTTCTACTTCAGTCTTAACATCCAAGACACATAGCTTGTTCTGAAGATGCTTTTCTGCCTTAAATCTGCACATGCAAAAATGCTGAATATTCAGAATTTTGGCTTGAAGCTCTGAACCGATGATATCAGCAGTGAGCTGAAAACTCAGGGAGGGTTTGAAGTCAGGCCTTCTCCTAGCTCAGCTTTAATCTCAATAGCAGGGGAGAAAACTTCGACTATCAAACCTTCCTGCATTTCTAGAAGTGTCTAAAACTTAAAATATTCTATCTCATAGTTGAAGCGTCTTAGATTCAAGTTTATAGACTGAAGAATTTTTAGTGTGTTCTGTGTTTCTAAAAAGTTTTGCTAGTTTTGGTACATGTGTTTACTTTTGCTCTTTGATAGGCCTGCCACAAACGTGGAGGGAGCAAACTTCTGCAGGCCAGTTGACGCATCCAGAGATGCTTAACTGAGCGTTGCTGATGTCACTGTAGCTACGTGTTCTGTTTGCTCTCATGCAGCACACATCAGCACTCCAGAAGAAGGTGGGGATTAAAGAAAAATAAAATTGTGGTCATTTCTTAAACATTCTTTTGTAGCTCAACTTAATTCATAGGCTTGTTTTTGAGGGTAGTTTGGCATTTGGGGAGAACTGTGTTAAGCGTTTTTACAGCTGACTTGATGACATTTCTCTAAGTATAATTTGCTGTTATTCCAGCATGGCAAAGGTCTGCATAATTCATGTGTGCTCAACTTAATCACTGGTTTTCTTCTAACAATAAATGGCATTGTACCAAAAGCAATATATCCTGTGCGTAGTTAGTAGTGGAAGTAATTATTACTGTGCAGCTTTTATTTTCATTGTCTTTCCAGTGGTTGCTGCTAGCATGGATTTTGTGCATTGACAGATGTTCCAGGCTGTTAAAGATGTATTTTGGGGGAAAAGTCCTGCATAATACTTGTTTGCTTTCTGGAAGCTGCTGCAGTACTTTGAAGCAGAAAAGAGTTGCATCTGATGCTGCAATAAGCTTGTTTTATCACCAGAACACATCTAGATCTAGAGAGCTTCTCCGGAATTGCTCCTCCACATTTTTCCTCTTGAGAAAGGCCCAGGCTCAACACCAGCACCGTTAGAGCCAAGGATTATAAGAGAGCAGAAGGGCTTTTTTCTCTGCCTGATTTTGGGATTCTGCTAAGCTACACACAGCCTTATTAGATCGTGGCGCTGTAAAAAGACTTGGGGAATGCTGCAACTGGTTTTGTTCACCAACTACTTAACTCAAGACCAGATAAGAACGCACAGGCAATATGCAATGCATGGGAACTCTCTAGTCTTAAATTCTGTCCTTCCTGACCCCCTGGTAGCGTTTCTGCACTACTGGCTCTGCAAGTAAGTCTGCCCTGGATAACTTTCCTTTAAAAGAGGGAAGCTTTGTTTTTCCTCAGAAGGACAAGGTATTCATGTAGTTATCTTCCCACCACTTGCATTTGACTGCTAGTGTGTAGTGTTCATCATACCAAGATGTCACTGTTAGAAAAATTTTAATGCTGTAGAACTAACAGGGGTGAAGAACTTGCTCTTCTCAACTTGTATATTTCTCCTTGCTTTCAAAGTGTGTAGAACGATACCTACTTTTAATTATAACTGAATAGCTTTTCTGCATTCTCTGTGCACATTTTTCTCTGCTGCCTCCTATTCTAGATGTTACTTATTTTCCTTCTAATGGTGTTATAAAAACTGTAGTACTACAGGTGTCGTATGGTAACTTGTAAATAAAATTACTATAAACACATGGTCAAGTTATTTGTGGTGCTGCTCTGTAAATGTGTGACATTACCTTAGCTGTAGATCTTAACTGTGCTTTCCTGGGGGACCTGCCCATGGCACTCGATTACGAAGCCGGTGTCTGTGCCTTT